TCATTGTCCAACTCTCTGATGCATAACAAGTGATTGCAAAGACCATGGCCTGTGTCAGATGCACCTTAGTCTCAAGAGATAGACAACATTGCTCTTCAGAACTTTGGAGAGGTCCCTAACAGCAGACTTTCCCATCGCAATACATCTTACTCACCTAAGTTTTAAGTGACTGAGCTATTGTGAAAGAGCCAAAGATCTGGTAAAATTCTTGTAAAGTGGAGGCTTAAAGCTGGGCCTGTATAGCCCCATGGCCTCTTGCCTCCAACAGGAATCGACCTTGGCCCACAGACGAGGTGTTCACAGGACACCAAGATGAAATGCAGCCTTTGTATGACCTGTATGTTCTCACAGGTCTGAGGGCGGAGGGAGGGAGGGGTGCAGCTCTAAGCCATGTCTGGTAGGAGAGCTTTCACAGAAGGCCATTCACCTTACATTGTTTCAACTTTCAGCTCCTGGGATGCTCTAAACAATTTCAAGGCCACTGCAGTTTGTCATAAGGACTTTTCCTAGTTAACTGGACAGCTGGGCAGGCAGAGACCAAGACTTGCTACACAAGTGTCTGTGCTGCTGACTGCTCTTGTTGAAGGGGTTTTGGAAGGCTCTTCCAGTCTGTCCCACAGGGGTCAATGGTCACTCAATCTTCCACCACGGAATGCTCACACTTGTGTCAAGATGTCAACTCTGCAGTCCTAAAGGAGAGTCCTGGTTGGACGTCTCAAACATGCCCGAGAAGATACTGAAAGAAGCCCTTGTCCCTCCTCATTGTTATATATTGTTGAGCCAGAACTGACCTTCCAGCAGGTTTTTAGCTGTAAATCTCACAGGAAGACACTGCCTATCTTTCTTCCATGGAGCAGCCGGTAGATTCTGACTGTGTACTTTTGTGGCGGCAAAATTCCCTCCAACTATAAGCCACCAGAGCTCCTCCTCAAGCCAAGTGAAAACAGAATTCCACTGCAGTGCTCCTCCACTTCTGCGTAAGAGGGAATCTGATTAGGTATGTGTGCAGGTTGGGGGGTCCACTCACATCTACATCGAGAGTCCTTGATTTCTATTTGGGAAGTACGTTCTGGGGGTGACTGGTAGGTAAGCCACCTGTCTGCCACTGAGCCCGATGCAAACCTATGGTACATACTTCTATACCAAAGCTCCTCCAGATCCTGGGGAGGGGGAGGCCCGTGTTGAGTTTCTGATACACATGAATAGAGATGCAGGACCATTTTCATACCACTAACCCATTCACAGCACTACTGTCCAGAATGAGTCCTTCAGGCCACATAAGCACCTAAGTTACCAGCTGTGTATAAACAGCTGTGTTCAGA